GTGTCCTGGCTTAGCTTCCGCCTCACTGTGGGGGCATGCACCCTGGTGTCTTATGAGGGCACTTTCTCTTGCTGGGTCCCAGCCTCAGACTCCGACTGACCTTACCTCCCAAGGGCCCTGTCTCCATGCGCACTCATTGGGGGTTGCAGCTTCAACTAGTGAGTTTTGAGGGCACACAGTTACTCCATATGGATACGCACACACTGGGCAATCTGAGATTCGAACATAGTGGGACACTGCAGCAATGCCTCAAGTCTTGGGGGAGATGGGATGAAAAAAACTGTCACCAAAACTCTCACTGCCCAACCATTTAACTCCACCCTGTTCAATTTTGTTGAGCACATACTAGCCCATGGGAGACAAAGAGGAAATGAAATGAGAGTGCACCACGCATCGCCTGTTCTCACAGGGAAACACATGGGCACGCAACCAGGTGGCCCATGGGGCAGAAGCTGCTGGGCTCCGAGCTCTTTTGGTGGCCAGTGTACCCTGGAGACAGGCCCTGGGCTGTGGATGTGGCAGCCTCCATGCCTCAGCACAGGTCTGTAGGGAGAAGGGACGTAGTAAACCCTTGTGGGACAAATGTCAGTTAAATATTAAGTGGTTGAATTTTTGTGGTTTTGAGCCTCTCAAGAATAATTTTCTTCAAGCTTCAAGAAAGTGTTTGGCTCATTTAAGGTTAAAACTAAATGGAACCAGGCCCATGTTGCCAATGCACTGAAGGAGAAAGTGGCAGGCCATGCCCCTGTCGGCTCTGTGCCTCAGCTAGAGCTGCAGAGGCCTTGCCACAGGGCACACAGAGCCTGCCTGACAGTCACCCGCCCTTTCCTATAGAGGGATTTTCATCCCCAGAGATGAATATGGGGAAGTTTTAGAAGAATCAATCAAAATTAAAAATTGCTACAGTGAACATGGGATTTTGGACTCACTCCACTGAATCAGAAATAGCAGTCTGAATTTTTTTAACTTTCAAAATCATCATTTTTTAATTAAGACAAAGCTATGGAAAATTTTATCCAGAAAAATTTTCAGAGTAAAGCGCAAATGCCCATCTTTGAGCAGTTGGAGCATGGTGGGGCTGTGGGAGCCCATGGAGCCAGAGGTGGGGCCCGGGACTGAGCTGCCACAGACACGCAGTGTGCTGGCGGGACCCTGGTGTGCTGGGCACATGAGGTGCTCTGTAAGGGCCTGGACCAGGTTTGATCTCTGCGTCTGACATGATCTGAGTCTTAGAAAAGCACTGTTATTGCTTTGATTCTGTGCTGAGTGCCTCAGGGCCAGACAGGGCAGTAGTTATGTACCTGTGTTCCTTGGCTCCCTGTTCCCACAGATTGCAGGTTCCTGTGGCTGTCCGCTGACTGCTGGTCAACAGGGTTGAATCCCCTGGAGCCAGGGTGCCCTATGGAGGCTGGCTTGGCCTTGGCATCTTCTCATCTGGGAAGAGAATGAGGTGACATTAGCAACAAAGTTAAGAAAGATAGACTTTATGAATTAAAAAGGCGCCTTTATTAAAAGGTCACCCAAGAGACATTCCAGAAGGCAAAATTGTCTTAAAACAGGTGCCAGTGAATGGGTTGAACTTGGTGTAAAATCTCCCTAGGAGGGTTTTATTTAGAACTGTGAGAATTACCATTTTTCATTACTGGTTTTCATTTTAGTTAGGAAATATTGTAAATATCCAAAAAAGAACTGACAGTTGCATAACATACCCACATTTCTACACTTAACATGTTACCTTTGTAACAGTTTTGAAGGAAATAGTACTCCAGAGACACAGGCATAAATAATAATGTCGACATGCCCCACCCAGCTGAGCCCCTTGCTGATCCTTCCTCACCTCTAGGCGACCTTCACCACACACTGCGTCTGGCCTGTATTCCAAAACAGTATGTGGGTATGCTTGGCACATTTCAAATCCTTACGGAAATGGTCATATGGTGTATGTCTTCATGAACCTGCTTTCTTGGGCAGGCATCTTGATAATCATCTGTATTGATATTTTCACCTCAAACTAAATTTATATTGAACAAATATGCTTTTGCTGTGTTGATTAGTCTTCCCAGTTTTAACCTTTCATTAGGAACAGTGCTGGTCTGGACATTCTAGTTTTTTAAGAGCTACTTTAGGCCAGTGCTTCTCAAGCACGAGCAGCCTCCCAGGCTGGCACTCTCAGCAGGTCCCCAATGGTGCTGCGGCAGCTGCTGTTCTGGGGACCACACTCTGAGAACCACTTCTCTAGTGGGGAGTACTTATCAGGTGGCATGCGTATCTTTAAGGTTACTAGATTCTGTTGCACTGTTTGCCAAGACATTTGTATCTGTTAGTAATCTCCCTGGCCATGTTTGTGTTCTGCTTACTTTATATCTTTGTCAACACCTCATAAAGTCAGATAAGTTTTTGCCCAAAAAATCAGTATGAAATGACATTGTATTGGTTCTAACTTTGTTTTTCTTAGTTTACCTTCCTTTACCAAGTTTTAAGCTTATGGGTATTGGCCTTTGTTGATCTCTCGGATGCATGTAACTTCTCTCAATCTGGCTTAGATTGGTCTTTGCTAATTTGTAATAAGTTCCTGAGGCTGGCTTTGAACTTGTGCTCCTTCTGCCTCAGCCCCCATGAGCCACTGACTGGGATTATAGATTTGTGCCACCACACCTGGCTCTAAATCAAAATTTTAAGTGATCAGTTTTGCCAATTTTGTTTATGGTTTGTGAAAGAACGAACAAGGCTCATCATCGGAGAAAATGCCCGTTTATTGAGGAACAGCTCTGCATATTTATAGAGCCGAGGGTGGATTGACATTTATGACATTTTAACAGTTTAATGGTTTGACAGTTGGCAGGGGGTGCTTTCTGATTGGTGGGTAAGGATCATGTGAGCCAGCAGGGCTAGCCTGATTGGTGGGTAAGGATCATGTGAGTCAGCAGGACTCACCATTGGACGGCTCTTTTCGGGGGGATGGGGAAGTTAAGTCTTTGGGGCCAGGGTGACTCCCAACAGTTTGTGCTTTTGTGTTTTAAGAAATTCTTCAAATTGTTTTTCACTTTACTTGGCTCTTTGTTTACTGACTGGCATAGTCACAAGGCAGGGGGCCAACCAACATGGACTTGCCCTGCAGCAGTGACTGCTGGCCGCAGCCCTGGGACCCTGTGTAGGGCACAGCCTTCTCTGTCAGTGTCTGTAAGTTCCTGAGTCTCCCCAGGCATTCTCCAGCTCCCTTGGCCTACTATCTCGCTCCAGTTCAAGACCATCCTAAGTATCATCAAGCAGCAGTTTGCAGCTGGGGACAGTTTTTGCAGCCTGTGCCCCCATACTTGGCCTCATCTTGTTGCAGCTCCAGTAAAAGTCTGTCAGAGGGGCTGGTGCAGAGCAACTCCCTGCACTGCCTGTGATAGCCCCACACAAAGAACTTATTTGGTCCAGAGTGCCAGCGAAGGTGGAGAGGCCCTGCTTTATAGTGAGTCTAGATATTTGCTATGTGCCCCCACCTGTACCCCCACACAGGCCATTGTTCTTCAGGATCACTGTGTCCTCTGTACAGTGTTTCAAGTTCTTTGAAAAATCTTGTCCAAAATTTGGCTGGAATTGCATTAAGCTTCTGGACAGAGCCTTGGCCTCTTTGCTGGATCATAAACCTCCTGGTTTATTCCTGAGCGTGGAGGGAGTTGCCTCAGATGCTGTTGGCGCCAGGAGTGATCCCTTCCCCTGGTGGTGATGGGGAGTTTGTTGTAAATTCTGGCAGATTTTCCATGAGTTGACTTTTATTTTCTAACATAACATTGTTATCAGTAGAAATCTTTAGACTTTTCTGTACTTAAGCTTGGGTTTGCATTTGCATTCCCAAAACTCTTCTTTTGTCCCACTTGGGACTGCTCCTACCCCAGCCAGAATGCCCTGCTCCAAGTATCACCTGCAAACCAAGCACCCAGGAAATAGAATAAGTGCTATATAGGGCCCAAGGCAACAGTGAGTGACCAAAGATGACTTAAGACAGACTTAAAACAGCATGCTATTTGGCAGAAGAAGCAAGATGGTTGCCCAATGCCCATAAAATCTACTTTTTAATTTATTAGGAACAAAAAGTACAGTGTCTTGTGTTGTGAATCTTCTCAGAGCCCATGGGCAGCATGTCATCCATGGAGGTGAACGTGGACATGCTAGAGCAGATGGATTTGATGGACATCTCTGACCAGGAGGCCCTGGATGTCTTCTTGAATTCGGGTGGAGAGGAGAACCCTGTGCTGTCCCCGGGGTTAGGTAGGATGGACATCCCTGTGTAAATGACCCTGTTCTTACCAGCATCCCCTGGGCAGTCTCCCCACACCTGTGTCTGGCCTGGACGTTGGTGAGTTCTCCTCGGTGGTTTAAATTTCTACCCCAGCACCTCAGGGAGGAGGGGGGTGCATCATCTAGCCCAGAAATTGGCACTTTGAGAACTGGAATTTGGGTGTCGGGGGGCTGTCCTGCTCAGCTGGCACTTGGCCTCAAGGGTTGTCTTTTTAAAACTCCTTCCCAATCACATTCAGTTCAGCGGAATTTGACCATGGTCTGTTTTGGCACTCTTGTCAGTATTGTAAAGACACCTGTAACCCCATGGGGCCCCTAACTCCTATCTCAAGCCTTCCCAAAATTGTTTCAGTTCATTCAACAATAATTGGCTGAGGTACTGGATCTGTACCTGGCCTCACCACACTTGAAGCTGTAGTACAATTCTTCTGGCTGGGAATTGAACTCTGGCCTCACATGTGCTGGGCAAGCCCTCTACCACAGGGCCACAGCCCAGCCCTGGCTGTATGTAATGCTTCACAGGCAGCTCTTAAATTTCACTCACAGAAGGGGAAGGCCAAGCCCCGCCCGGCCACACTGCAGCCTTCCCTAGGACATTCTGCCAGCAGCAGGGAGCCCACTTCCTCTAGCCTCTCCTCTCTGCTTGGCAAACCTGTGAAAGCACTCTTCCTGGTCCTGTCCTGAGAAGGTGGGTCACTGGAAATATGAGGGGCTGGGAGAAATGTTAGCAGCAGTATGTAAAAGGTATTCCTAGAAGAGCTTCTCTCTACTGGGGAACTCCCCAAAGACAGTTCTCTTGGCATTCCTGTTCTGGATGGCTTTAAAGGATACGTACAGAGCAAGCAACTCAGGAGGACGGAGGGTTGGAAGTTTGAGACCAGCCTCAGTAAAACTTTATCTCCAGAAGGGCTGGGGATGCAGCTGTGGGAGGGGAGAGATGACTTACAGACTGCGTAGATTACCATGGACCCCAGCTCAGTCTTGCTGGTCTGTTGTTCGCTCAGACCACCAGCTGCCTCTGGCCTGCTTAGCTCAGTACGCCCAGGGTTGTTCCTGCATGGGGCTGAGCAGTCTGGCAAATTTACGGGTGTCATAAAACTTTGCTAATGGAATTTCTTTTTCCCTTTGGGTACCAGGGGGGCACTCAACAACTGAGCCACATCCCCAGTCCTATTTTTTGTATTAGAGACAGGGTCTCATCGAGTTGCTTAGCACCTTCCTAAATTGCTGAGGCTGGCTTTGAACTCGAGATCCTCCGCCTCCCAAGCCACTGTGCCCGGCCTAACAATGTATTTTAATTTCACAGGGCCGGAAACTGACACCTGTCAGGATGAAATTACTCTTCAGGTTCCAAATGCCTCAGAGTCCCTGCCCAAGCTACCTTCCTCACCCTGTGTGTGCACAGAATCGGCCACCCTGGACCCCAGTGAAGGTGGGGAATGCCCCCTTGTCCAGTCTGATGAGGAGGAAGTTCAGGTGGACACTGCCCTGGCCACTTCCCATGCTGACAGCCAGGCCACTCCAGATGCTAGTGATGACAGTGACTCAAATCAGGAGTGACTGAAGTGTCAGTCGTGCACAGAACGCTCCTGTAAAGCCAGATTTTTAATGATTTTACACAATTGCCAATGATGTGTGAGAAACTGACAGAAGAGCTGACAATAAAGTTTGAGGACTTTGAACATTGACTTGGGAGAGTAGCTGGTTTGTACAGAGGCTTCTGCCTACATAGGTCCTCAAGGCCAGCATGACAGGGGTTGCTTAGAGCACAGTGAAGGGACACCCACTGAGGCAGCCTCCCCAGAGCATGGCTGGGCCCTGGGGCTCCACAGTGGCTCAGGCCTGAATGAACATAGAAAGGTTCATAGTCTATTAAAGGTAAGTGGTTAGACTCAGCTGACAGTCTTGGGTTCACAGCTGGCCTAACCACAACACTGGAACCTCTGGGGCAAAGGGACAGGCAGAAGCAGCCATTCTTACTCCTGCAGAGAAACGGGGGGGCCCAGGCTGGCTCTGACCCAGCCACTGGGCCACCAGCGCATGGAGATCAGGGAGCAACAAGACTCCCTTCCCAAGGGCAGATCAGCCTTTGCCCATTGACCAGAAGAGAGGGAGCCCATTCCATTCACTCATCTTCCACAAGACAAATGTCCAAAAAACTTTGTTTTTATTATTAAACCTTGTAGTACAAACCTGAAAAGTAAACAAACTGGCAATAAACCACATGAAGTCTTCCCTCAAGGGAGGGGTGCAGAGCAGCGCTAATAAATTAAATGTCAAACTGTAAGCCATAGGCAGAAGTTTACTGTCAAAAAGAGGGAAAAGTACACAGCAAGGCCATAAAAACCGGACAACCACATTGGAAAACACTTGACTGTTTATGTAACTGTTAAATATTCCAAAACAGTTCAGTCTTCTGCAACAACAACCAACAAAGTGGATCCTAGGACGCTCCTGGCAGTCGCCACTGGCAAGCTCAGTGCAATATGGGCAGCTACGGGACTGATGGATCCAATTATGAAACAAAGAACAGCTTGTGAAAACAGTTTCCCTTTTTATTCCACACATACTGTACACACAACCGGAGAAGGGCAACAGCTACTCCATTATTATTTTTTTGTTGTTGTTCAGTGATGTAAGCAGCACTTATAAATGTTACAAGAAAAACCCTGTAAGCATCCAATCCAACCGATGAAGAAACTGAAATGTAAGGCTTTTCTTCATCTTGTCTTCTCACCCCTCCCCGCCCCCCAAGAAAAGGCTCAAGTATTTAAAACAATTTACAGGCATATGTACAAAAGGGATGGGATTTTTTTTCTTTTTTTTTTCCTTTTTGTTACAACATGGACAGAAAAAATAGACAAGATGAGCGCAAATGCATTTTCACATTCAAAAAGAACTGCAGACCTAGTGGCTCTAAATGTGATCATAAATTTAAAAAAAAAGATTAATGCTGACTTGTGAAGGTGTGACAAGAAGCAGCGAGATGAAGATGGAATGTCAGATTGCACGTCGATGGCACAGAAGCACCTGCGGCTCCCGTCGCTTTTCCTTTTTTTCCTTAAGGATGCTATTGAAGGGTTTTGTGATAAAGTAGCCAACAGCACCAAAAAATAACAGAAAGGATTTCCTAATGAAATCAGGCACAGGTCTCCCTCAGTGACCCTCCAAGGCAGGCAGTCTTTGTCTTCGTCCTCTCTTCCTCACACGGATGCATAGTGATGTGCTGGTAACGAAAACCTAATCGCTCGACCTCCACATTTCGCCTCTGGTTAGGAAACAACGTCCGCCTCCAGCTGCCATAACCGCCCAACGGAACAAAACGGGGCTCTCCGGTTTACAAAGTACAAACTCATCTTGCACATGACAGAAGAAAAGACAGCCAAAGTAAAGCCATTTCTTTTCAAGTTTTTTTGTGTGTGTGTGTTTGTGTGTGTATTTGTGTCCTATCCCTTTTCCAATCTAAAAAAACCTGCTCACATGACTGATGGTTTTAAAATTTGTTCTCCAAACTTCACCCTCTTCAAAAATGGGTTAAAAAGCCTTTTTTCCCCCAACATTAAAAAAAAAAAAAAAAAAATCAAAACAAACAAGAAGGGCTTTTTTCAGCCACAGGGGCAATACAAATTAATACAGCCCCCTCAAGGGTTTTTAAAACAGTGAATATACGGCAGTTTCCAAAATCTGACTGCAGTGTCTAGGTATTCTAAGTACAAAAAAAAGTTCAACAGTTTAATGCTAAAACAAAATTAGTTCTCTAAAACCAGAAGAAAATCTTCTTTAGAGCTAGTGCAAAGACAGCTTGTATCCTACAGCAAGTACTCCAAACTAGAATATAATAATTACAAAAAAATATATATAAATTGACCATGGTGTTGGCATCTTCATGACGAGCTCGAAGCACTTTTGGATGAACCGGAGGACGCCAGCCGAGAAGGCGGCACGTCCACGGTCGCTCTCTTGCGGGGGCCTCTTTTTGGTGTGGGTTTACTGAGACAGTTCTCGATGGTGCCGTTTTTACCGGATACTTTGCCACAGATCTGATTGACCAGACTGATGATCTGCTCCTGCGGGGGTAGAAAGCAAGACAGTTAATGTATCAGGCAAGGGCCCCAAGGTCCACTCGGGTTGAGCTGGGAGAACAGCAGCTCATCACCAAACCACATCAGCACGGGTTTCTGAGTGTGGGGAAGCTCAGGGCCCCACAGGATTTTGAGGCGCAGTGGGCCTGAGAAGGAGTGGACAACATGCAGGAGACATGGCCCCAGGAGGCCTTCCTTACCAGGCTGGACCCACCTGGCTGCACCCCTAATAAATGTCTTGGGAGAACAGCATAAAATAGGCTAAAAGAACAAGTCCCATAACTGCATACAGCAAGTATATAATTATTTCCTAAGAATGGTGTTCAGATCTGTGTTCACACAACCATCTGCAAATTGATTCACCATGCAGACGGCACTGCTGGCCACGGGGCTGACCTTTTCCTGATGCCATCAGGTGGAGGAGTCATGTCATCCTACCCAGCTGTCCCCCAACTCTGATTACCAGGTCACTACGCCCCCCGAAGCAGAACTTAGGATTTGTGGCCAAGTTCTGCAGCGTTGCTCTGACACTGCAAGTTATTTAACTTGGTCTCACAAATAAATGCAGCGACTACTGTTTACATATACATGTCTCCACTGTTAACTGTGCTGTAGGGGACACAGCAGACACCAGCGTCCTTGTACTCCCCCAAGAAACAGACTGACCATGGGCACGACTAACCCTGTAACCATCTCATTTAAAAAACACAGGAAGGAGGCACAAATGTACATTTCTCAACATCTCTCAGGGCAGCGCTGGCCTACAACCATGTGGTCGCAGGTAGGGGAGGAGGCCAGCCTGGTACAAAGGGCCCACAGCCAGCCACGAGGGCTGCTCTCTGGAGAGCCCTAAGCAAGGGCCAGCCCACGTGTTTGTACATGGCGCTGGCATGTGTGTGTACAAATTCCTAGGTGGACAGCAGCTTTCTGCTGAGCAGTTCCTTCATTTGAAGCTTGGAAACAGCCCAAGTGCCCTCCACCAGGCTGGAAGTCCAGGCACACAGTGGCCAGAGGACCAGGAAGCTCAGCACTAACCCCAAAGAGCTGCCCAGTTCTTGAGGTGTGAGAACCAGGCGCTGCAGGACTCTTGAAAGGGTGCAAGGGCTGAGAGCTGCTGTACCTCGCAGGGAATAGAAGGGGAGACCCTCCGCAGTCAGTGGCTTCAACAGGAACGACTTATCGGTAGGGTACACAGGGATCAAAGATGAACTTCTGGTCCTTCAAACTAGAGATGCCCCAATTAAAACACCTCAACTTCAAAAACCAGTGTGAGAGGTTTTCCAAATTCCATCCACTGGCTACCCCTGGGCTTGTCACATGGGCCTCTCCTCCCTTGGCAAGGGCAGGGGCAAAGCCCTGACTGCCACCCCTGCATGCGTTTTGCAGGTGTTGGCTACGACAAGGGCTGGTGGAGCAGAGTTTTTACTCATCTCCATGCGAGCTGCCAGGCGCAGTCCTCCTCAGAGACCAGGGTTTATTTTTAACCACTTTTGACATGTGCTGTCACTGTGAAGCAGTCACAGCCTTCACT